GGAGATGTTCCGATATCTAGAAATAATTCAGGCTCTGCATTTGTGTCAATCGCGGCCGGCATAACCACAGGGCGCACAGTGCTTCCCACCAGTCAGTCATGCTACGGTAGCCGAGTCATGGCCCCTTACCCGGTCTGCAAGGAAGTACTCACAGAGAGCGCCAAAATCTTCTTGTCAGTCTGGGTAGAGGATACAGAAGCTCCTCTACTCTACTGTGGTCCGCAGCTCAGCCATGCTACATGGGTGATGGTAAGCTAGCACATGGATAGAGAGACCACAAGCAGGGTGTCACATCCGCTTATAGAAATGTGGTTAATGACATTTACTGTCCACACAGATAAAGTTGTGCCGAGCAGCAACCTAATCCACAGAAGGGTTAATGCTGAGCAGTAATTGTGCAAATGAAACCTGGTGTCATGTATTCATCCGCTTAGAGAAAAGTGATTAATGACATTTACTGTCCACACAGGAAAAGTTGTGCCGAGCAGCAACCTAATCCACAGAAGGGTTAATGCTGAGCAGCAATTATACAAATGAAACCTGGTAACTGACTTTGGGGTCAAAGGCCAGTTACAGCCTATCAGAACTAAAGGAGGGGTATTTAGGCCCAGTTCTCAGCCTGCTCAGTGCCCTGTCGTGGTTTCCCTTGTGGTTGTCAGAGAGCGCGTTCCTGTTTATAGTTTTCTACCTGGTTTTTGACTTTGGCTTTGTTTATTGACTTCTCTATATTTCTGGTATCCTGACTCCTGGCTTTCCTCATCGCTGTGTCCCTTTCTGTGTTCCCTGACCTCGGCTAGTATTTTTGACTATTCTTTGTACGTTAAATCCGGCCATTCTAAGGACCGGTAATACGTTACTTATTTGTCATCCGTGCTGTACAGTTCTACGTGCTGGATCAAACAGTAATCCTGACACAGGGGACACAAAGAGACAGACGGGGGCTGGGGAAGGGACAAAAGAAACAGGCTGCGGCAGTGGGAACACAAAGAGACACAGAGGGGCTGGGGGAGAAAGAGACAAACTACTGGGGAAGAGACACACAGAGGGGCTGGGAAGGGTAAAGAGACACAGATGGGTTGAGGAAAGGGCAAAAGAGACATACAGGGGCTACGGAAGGGGCAAAAGTGTGAGTTCTGGCTATTATATTTAATTATTCTATTATATTAGCAAACAGAGGGGATGGGGAAGGGGACACACACAATGGAGCTGGGGTAGAAAGAGACACACAAAGGGGATGAGGGGAGTAAGAGACACACAAAAGGGGCGTGATGACGTGATTATGCTCACACCGGGAGGGGAGGAGCTGGGACCGGACCGGAGAGATGGGAGGGAAGAGAAGGCGAGACGCTGAGCTAAGAAGCGCCATTGCCACCTCGCTAGCACGGAGCCCAGGCAGGCTGATACTTACCTAACCAAGTGATCCAGCAGTATGCTACCAGTCAAGATGACAGCTAAGTGATCCAGGCAGACACCCAGTATGATACTCGATTGAGTGAGATCATTTTTTTTTTTTCTCTCCTCTATCATTTTGTGGCATGTTATGCCAAAAGGCATTTATAACACTGTGAATAATTGCTGCACACAGCAAGACTTTCTTTCGATTTTCAGAAATATATAGTACAAAAAGCGATATGTGAGGCTTAAGGTGGGCACAAAAAGGCATGTTATGTAACTGGATGGTCTTGCTGACTCAGTTGCACATATACAGCACATATACAGCTGATGCTGATTGATTGACATTGGCTACCTACGACATAAAGGGGAATTCGTTTTTTTTTCTTTTTTCTTTTTTTTTCTTTTTTCTTTTTTTTCCCTGTTTTCCTTTATTCCATAAATTTAAAACGATATGTCTTCCAAAAAAGCACAAGAGAGTAAAGAGAGTAGAGCTTCAACAAAAGCTGATTAGAAAGGCCAGAAACAAGAAAAAAGATTATCGGCTTTCTTTGTCCCAGAAGAAGGCAAGAATGCTTGGAGCAATCATCTTTGGAATCTCTTCATACAGGGGTTTCTGTTTCACCTATTAAAGTTATGGATAAAAAAGTAGTTACTCCTACTTTTTTAAAGAAATGTTTGGAAGATTTTTCTAAAGATATTAAAAAAGATTTGAGTGATACATTTTCTGATATAAAGACGAACTTAGCTGTGTTAAAGGAACGTATTCATTAACTAGAAGATAAGGAAGAAGATATAGTATTCCAGCTCCAGGCAGTAAAGGACACTCAAATTAAGACGGAATTGAAAATGAAAGAAATGGAAGACAAAATGTGCGAGCTGGAAGATAGATCAAGAAGGTTGAACCTAAGGTTCAGAAATATACCTGAGGAAATATCAGATGCGCAACTATATGATTTTTTGATAAATTATTTTAACTGTTTGAGGTTCCTGACGGCACAGCAAGATATAAAGTTGTCTCGGTACCACCGTCTTTCCTATAGAAAGAAAGATCAACTGTACCCACGTGATGTTATCGCAGTGTTTGTTTCATATGATCTCAGGACTCAGATCCTTCAGACAGCGAGGAAGATGAAGATAAATGAGGAAAAGTTTACAGCAATATAAGTGTTAACAGATGTCTCTTATCTAACGAGGCAAAGAAGAAAATCATTTTCCACGGTCTTTCCGTACTTGAAGAAATTTAACTTCAAGTTTAAATGGACCGCTCAATCAGTTTTACTAATTTGTTACAATGATATTTGGAAGTCTTTCTCTGGCTCATGTCTGGTTAAAAGATATTGATATGTAGTTTTAGGTATTAGTCTGTCGGGTCATGTGATGTGTTCGTGTTCTCGCCTGGAAAATAGAGGGTGGGGGAGGTGGAAGTGAGGTTACATTTTTTTTTTTTCATATGAAAATGGTCTTGGGAGTTAAGAACGTATTTACAACGCCTTTAAAGGGATAACATGAGGTAATATTGAAATTTGGTGATATCACGGTAATATATATGAGAGCACAAGAGTGAACACATGCTTAGGATTTAAGAATGTATTTACAACGCCCTTAATAGGGATAATATGGGTAGTAGTTTATAATGGCAAAATTGGAGTAAAGATTTTGTTGATAGCACCACAAACAGTAAATTATTTAGAATTATGTTTGTTTTTTAGAAGTTGAGAGTGTATACACAATGGTCCTACTAGGGATAATAGAAAAATTAAGGGAAATATCAGGAGTGGTGTAACAAATATAGAGTAATTTTCTTTTTTCCACGTGAGATACAGGAAGGAGGGAAATGAAAGAAAAAA